AGATATAATCCTGAGCCCCATCCAGAACCTTCCAAGTTGAGACAATCCCACTTGAAAGGACAACCAGACCAGCCTGGAGCAGCTAGAGGAACAGAAAATACTTCCTGAAAGAAAAACCAGCAGGAAAAATCAAAACAAAAACGGAAGTCTGAATGGCTACTACAAGGACAAGCAAGTTGTTCGCCAGAGAGCCATCAAGGAAACCAGTCAGGTCCCTTCAAGACAAGCCCCCTCCCCTCTAAGAATGAAACTCAGAAGGATCACATGAGCAACCATGTAAGCTTGCTGGCAACCATGTTGGTCTACTGGTGAGTAAATGAGGGAGAAAGGCAGCAATGACGATATGGGCTGAGCCTGACCATGTTCCATAGACGGCCGGCAACCTGAAGATGACAGTGAGAAGAGGAAGGGCTGGTTGGTCCGAAGTATGGTAAGACCTGGGGTCTCTATGCCCACGGACAAAGACAAAGCAATGAAGGGCAAGAGCTGAGAGTGAAGCGCCCAGCTTATATGAAGTGCGGGCAGACACAAAAGAATGTGCAAACCTGTAGACAGTATCCACTTGACCTAGCTTCGATGGGTTAAAGATCACAACTCCACTAAAAGAAGATAAAAATTTTTTGATAAAGGAAACAAGTGTAAATTACAATTTGATGAACTTGACTTATACTTATGGGTGTAGTACCTCAAAATACCAACTGAGAGGAAAGAAGTCTTCATCCTACTCCCTCTGTATGCAGGGGTGACAGGGATGGGCAAGCTAGACACTGGCTACCCAAAATGGGGGGGGGTTGGGAGACCATAAAGGCACAAAGTGACTGGATTACAAGTTTTCAAGAGGGAGTTTAGATTCAGAATGTGTGGGGGAAGACAGAATCCCCATCAAATGGTTTTTATCTTGTCTAGGTAGGTCTTGTGAAAGGAGATGCGGACAGAACTCTTATGATTCAACAGTGAGTAGCTGATATCATGACTAACTGTGATTAACACAACTGTAAAGGTAGAAGTTTGTTGTTTCTTTTTTTAACTTTTTATTGTGAATTGAGTGATAGTTTACATGGGAGAACATCAGTTTTACATTCATCATTGAAGGTAGAAGTTTTATACCATAAAGGGAGGAGTAGTTAATCTTACAATCCAAGAACAGAGGACCCTAGGGCCATCAAGGGAGAAGAGCATGAGCGGAATGTGGGACCCTATCCAAAGAAACAGCGACACCAGAGATGGAAGCAGAGATGAGGACATGGAAAGACAGAGCAGGTGAGGACTCTAGACTCATGGAAAGAGAAAGACTGTTTGCTGGCAGCCAGGAGGCAAGGTTACAGAACGAGCCCTTTGGTTGTTTAAATGATTATATATTCCTCAGTGTTTTGGTGTACATCCTCTCTGCCCCCAAAATAAAAAAAAAAAAATTACCTTGAATATATCATATTTGAATTTGAGAACTGATCTGAAGAACAGATTTGATGCATTAGACACAAATGACAGAAGACTAGAGGAGTTGTGGGATGAC